ACCTTTTCAATTTCTTCTTTTGTTATAGGTTTATTTAGTTGTTCTACCTCTGTTTGTGTTAGTTTATGTAGGTAGTGAGTTTCTAGAAATTTGTCCATTTCCTCTAGGTTTTCATATTTGTTAGAGTACAGTTTTTCATAGTATTCTGTTATGATTCTTTTAATTTCAGTTGGGTATGTTGCGATATCACACATCTCATTTCTTATACGAGTTATCTGCTTCCTCTCCTGTTTTTCTTTTGGCAGTTTGGCCAATGGTTTATCATTTTTGTTGAACTTTTCATAGATCCAGATTTGGTCTTGCTAACACTTTCAATTGTTTTTCTATTCTCTATTTCATTTAATTCTTCTCTGATTCTTAGTCTTTCCTTTCTTCTGGCATCTGAGGTCTTCTCTTGCTGATCTCTTACTACTTGTTCCAGTGGTAGGGTAAGTGTATTGATTATGGCCCTTTCTTCTTTTTGGATGTGTGCATTTATTGCTATAAAGTCACCTCTGAGCACTGCTTTTGCTGTGTCCAAGAGGTTCTCATAAGATGTGTTTTCATTCTCGTTTGATTCTATGAATTTCTTTATTCCATCCTTAATTTCTTCTATAACCCAGTAGTTTTTGAGCAAGATGTTGCTCAGTTTCCATGTGTTTGTTTTTTTTCCTTGCTTTCTCTGTTGTTGATTTCTACTTTTATGGCTTTATTGTCAGAAAAGATGCTTTGTAATATTTCGATGCTTTGGATTTTGTTACAGCTTGCTTTATGGCCTAATATGAGGTCTATTCTGGAGACTGTTCCATGTGCATTGGAAAAGAAATTATACTTGGCAGCTGTTGGGTAGAGTGTTCGGTATATGTGTATGGGATCAAGTTGGTTCACTGTAGCATTTAGCTCTTCCTTGTCTTTGTTGAGCTTCTTTCTTAATGTTCTGTCCTTCACCAAAAGTGGTATGTTGAGGTCTCCTACTACTATCGTGGTGCTGTCTATCTCTCTTTTCAGGGCTGTTAGAGTTTTTTTACGTATTTCAGAGCCCTGTCGTTGGGTGTTAAATGCTTATTATAGTTATGTCTTCCTGGTTTATTCACCCTTTAATCATTATATTCTGTCCCTCCTTATCCTTTGTGGTGGATTTTACTTTAAAGTCTATTTTGTCAGAGATTAATATTACCACTCCTGCTCTTT